AGGTTGTAGAGAAAAAGCAATGCTTATATACTTTTAGTGGGAGTGTAAATTAATTCAATCATTGTGGAAGACGGCATGGTGATTTCTCAAAGACCTAAAGATAGAAAGATCGTTCAACCCAGCAATCTCTCTCTATATATATATACACAAAGAAATATAAAAATACACAAAGGATGTATATATACACAAAGGAATATAAACCTTTCTATTATGAAGACACATGCACGTCTATGTTCATTGCAGCACTAGTCACAGTAGCAGAGACATGGAGTGAACCTAAATGTCCATCAATGATAGACTGGATAAAGAAAATGTAGTGCTTCTACACCATGGAATACTATGCAGCCATAAAAAAATGAGATCATGTCCTTTGAAGGAACATGGATGGAGCTGGAAGCCACTATCCTTAACAAACTATCACAGGAACAGAAAAGCAAACACCATATATTCTCACTTTTAAGTGGAAGCTAAATGATGAGAACACATGGACACATAGAGGGGAACAACACACACTGGGGCCTATCGAGGGTGAAGGGTGGGAGGAGGGAGAGAATCAGGAAAAATAACTAATGGGTACTAGGCTTAATACCCGGGTGATGAAATAACCTGTCCAACAAACCTCCATGACACGTGTTTACCTATGTAACAAGCCTGCACATGTACCCCTGAACTTAAAAAAAAATTATAATGTCTGCAAATAATAGTAATATTTAACATTTAATACTATTTTATTATGAATGTCCTTTAGTTAATTATTTTTGGCCTCATTTTACAAATGAGGAAAATTAAGGAAAATAAAAGCTAAATAATGTGGGCACTATTACACAACCAGAAGGTGGCAGAGCCTGGATTGAAACGAAGCTATGAGTTCCAGAGTCCCTGCACCTAATTGCAAAGTTTTGTATGGTAAGGGTGGGAAAGGGTAAGAAAGACAGGGGAAGAGATGCCACCAAGCAGCTTAACCAAATTGTATTATTCAGTAACAACATGTGTTCTCTTTCAGTGTTTGTGTGTGTGTGTGTGTGTGTGTGTGTATAAAAATACACACACACATTTATTTTACTCTGAACTATCTAGGATCTTTTTTCTAGAAAGGAGAAATATACAAATATGCAAAATGTACGAATACATTTTGAAGAGGAAAACAGTTTTCAAAGACTTTCAAGTATTCTAGAAATCTTAGAAATGACAAGTTTAGATATCATGAGATTAAAGAGAAATAACCATGATTTTTTTTTAATGATCCTGGGAATGAAAGAGGTGGGTCTTCAATACACTAACATTTAAATTCTCAGCTTCAGGATAAATTGAGTTTTCATTCATGCTCTGAACCCTCTTCCCTTAGCAATGAAGCCTCGGCATCCTTTTGCTTCTTCTGTGCCCTCGAGTGAGAACTGAGTTATGGCTGGCTGTCTCAGGAAGAAAATAACTATTACAAGACATAAGATGGGCTGGGGCGGGGGAGGGCTAAGGAAAGGCCTGCCATTTAGCTTGTAAAGTGCAGCAGCTGTGGCCTGTTTTCACTAATATCTGACATGTTTCTTTGGCCACTTGCCAAATTGAGCTGTACCCAACACTTCTCCCATCCTTCCTGTGCCTCCAGGATCCTTTGTAAATGCTACTTGAGACTCCAGTCTACACCAAATCAATCCCCTTGGTTCCTTCCTCCCCTTAATGCACAGGCATCCCACCCTAATTAATTAACCCAACACCAGCTTCATCCAGGACCTTCCCACACTTTGCCCCTTCACGCAGCCCAGAAACATCAGCACATTCCTGACTTCATCACTTGTCAACTCCCTTTCTGTTAAAGACCAGTGTCCCCTTTCCCTGACCTGGCCTCTGATTTGATCTCACTTTAAAGTATCCCACTTTAAGAGACAGTAACAAATGCTGCCTTTTTCCTGTTTGGTTTGTTTATTCATGCTTACCCAGTCTATTATAATTAAAGACCAAGGGAATTCTAAGAAGAGTCCAGGAAGATGGTTTATGTGTTTGATAGGTGGATAAATCCAATACTGGATTTGTAACAAAGTTCACTTCACCTATTGCTAACTGTGTGAACTTGGGTGAGTTTCCTAAGCTCTTGTCTTTCATTCGAATACTTATTGAGTGCCTGTTACTATGCTACATTCTATTGTAAATGCTGATGCTGCAATTTAAACAGGGAAGCAAAATTACCCACCCTCTGTGATGTTTATATCTTAAAGAGGAAGAATAACTGTTAATAAATAGATGGATTTAAAAACACAGACATTTAAGAAAAAATATAAGGAATGAGAGAAGGATAGGGAATGTCAAGATTAGGAGTAGAAAGGAAGGTAGCAACTTGGAATAGAGTAGTCCCTAACTTCCTGATGTGATGCTTCACCAGGCCTGAGGTCATGCAGATAGCTGAGAAAAAAGCATTCCCAAAAGAGGAAACAGCAAGTGCAAAGGCCCTGAGACAGAAGAGTGTTGCCTGGCATGTTGAGCAAAGAGACAGCTATGGCTGGCAGAGAACAAGAAAGCAGTAGCAGGTGATGTCAGAGTAACAGGGAACTAGAACTCAGAGGGCCTTGTACGTGATAATAGAGAATGTGGATTTTACTTTGATAGAAATGGGAAATCACTGAAGGATACTGAATAAGAGTAACATGATTTGATTTACCTCTAAAGAATCTCAACTAACTCCTCTGTAAAATAGTGTAAAATGTATAATAAATAGAGCGGCGAAGACCAGTCTGCCTGCTCAAATCTCAGTGCCGCCACTTACTACCAGTGTGACTTTAAGCTGATTATTTAACCTTCCTAAGCCTTGATTTTCTCATTTTTCCTTTTTTTTCTTTTTTACAGAGGTAATCAAAAGTGTTCTCATTTCTAAGGTGGAATTGATAGCAGTTCCCATTTTGTAAGGTTAAGAAAAAATAAATGCACTGAAGTGTTTAGTGCAGTGGATACTGAAGTGTTTAGTGCAGTGGATACCACACAGAAAGCCTGAGACACGCTGGTATTATCAGGCTGGAGAGAATCAAGTCCTATAATGTACGTGCGGTATTTGCTTGTGTTGCCCAGCATAGTGGCATAGTGAGCACTTACGTGTCATCTACTATTAGCTACTAGCATTACCAACTACTAACCCACTGGCTGTTTTAAAGTAACTTTGTACATTTAAAAATTTTATAATATACCACCTTAAAAGAATCAGAATAGCAAAATTTCACAGATAATGTTCAGATGTCTCTGAACCTTCTTATTCAAAGTACTCTGCAAAGCACTAGAAAGCCATAGGTACTTGGGTAAAAAAGAGAGTGCACACGCATATGTCTCTCTCTTTCCCTTTTGTTTTATCAAATATATAAAATAAAAGTTATATATACATAATTATCTATATAGTAAACATATATATCTTTATGTATATATCTTCCCCTTTAAAAATTATCAATGTATGTAGAGAGAGAATTTTATAGATAATTTTTAAAGCAGGAGAAATTATCTATATATAGATAATATTTTAAAGAAGGGGAAAGAGTTAGTTAAGACAAGTTTCTGTGTGTTGCTGACCCCTGTTGGGTGGAAAAATTAAAATTGGTCTTCTGAAAGAAAGAAAAGTGAATTCTCAACTCCCTGGTCATGATCCTGACCTGGAACCTACTCTCATCCATTTCATTGATTCCATGCCTATGGCCATCAATGGAGATATTGGAGGCCTATTGGTTCTTCACAGCCCTGCTTCATTACCCAAATGTTATGCAGCTCATACCTCATTTCTTTCCTGAGACCTAGGCTACCTTAAACTGAGAGGGTGGATCTCATCTTTCTTTCCCTTGCCCACCATACTCACACACACATACATACTGACATACTCCCAAAACAAACACACGTCCCCCAAGCATAGGTCTCTTAGGAAACAACCACGTATCCTAATCTGGTCTTGATAGTCAGCTCACAAGAACAAAGGAGAGAAAGATTAATGTAGAAACCTGCACTAAAGGCTGAGTACGGTGGCCCAGGCCTGTAATCCCGGCACTTTAGGAGGCCAAGGCAGGTGGATCACTTGCAGTCAGGAGTTCTAGACCAGCCTGGCTAACATGGTGAAACCCTGTCTCTACTAAAAATACAAAAATTAGGTGGCCGTGGTGGCGGATGCCCGTAATCCCAGCTCCTCGGGAGGCTGAGACAGGAGAATCGCTTGAAACCGGGAGGCAGAGGTTGCAGTGGGATGAGATCGCACCACTGCACTCCAGCCTGGGTGACAGAGCAAGACTCCATCAAAAACAAAAAACAACAAAACAAACAAACAAAAGCAAACCTGCACTAGAATAAGTGCTAGTTCTCTATTTTCTTTAAAGACAGACAAAATGCGATGTTTTAATTCTCATTTTACCTAATAATAAAGAAAGGATGTACCATTAAAAATCAAGTAGGAAATTATCCTTGTCTTATTGTCACTTTTTAAAAATTGTGCTATTCTGCACAGGACCAGTTTCTCTAGAATGTTCCCTTGCTGACTTTTCCTCTAGTAGTATCAGTTATACTGAAAATCAGTCGTACTCTTACTTTATTTTACTGGGCACCATCAAACTAACAGAAGAGGTACACAAAGACAGGGAGAACTACCACTGATACAAGGCCTCTTCCGGACCGAAACGCGCAGCCGCACCTCTCTGTTCCGGCAGGTGGAATAGGCCCCCGACCTGGGATCTCTACCCAAAAGGAGGAGGTTAGAACACAGGTGTCCTATTCCGTTGAGTCCTCCATCATTTACTAGACAAAGCTGCGCAATTAGAATAACAAAATGCAGTCGGGAGAAATTGCTAACCCCTGTAATCCCAGCATTTTGAGAGGCTGAGGCTGGAGGATCGCTTGAGTCCAGGAGTTCAAGCCTGCAGTGTGCTATGATCGGACCATTGCACTTCAGCCTGGGCGACAGAGTGAGACCCTGTCTTTAATAATAATAATAATAATAATAATAATAATAATAATAATAAATCCAAAACATCAAGAAATTGGGTGTGACTTTTTAAAATACACTTAGAAAGGGAACAGTTAGAATCTTAATTTCAGGGATACTTTACTCCTAAACCTATTCTTTTTGTTTATGTAGAGATTGACCATGCCTACAGGGACAACTGGAAAACAGAAATGAAACCATATAAGCCAAGCACTCAGGCAATCTTTGTCCACCCAGTTGACTTAAGAACGCTTGCGAAGAAAATGTGGCCTCTTTAGATCTCAGGTAAGGGATCCGGCTGCTCTCTTTTTCCTGATACACCTTCATCCTGCAGGATAGTTGGGAGTGAGGTGTGCTGAGAAGGAACAAGTTGTCCGCTTTAACTTGACAAGGCACGGCTTCCCCTTGCCTCCTACTTGAAGTATTCTAGTCGCTGGAATAAATGTTCAGGTGTTTTGGCTTTTGTCTCTTCCAGTTCCGCCCCTCTGTACCTCTCCGGCAGAGGGCGCCTTTTCCACTGGGTCTCACTGTGGGCTGCTGGGAGTTTTATTCGGTTTGGGCCGGGAAGGAGCTGTGTTGGATCCGCGCCCCCTGCCTGGGCGCCGCCTTTGGCCGTGTGAGTCCTGGCCCATCCCGTGCAGAATCAATCGGGGCTCCTCCCGCGCCTGCTCCCCAGGGGCTGAATCCGCCCGCCCGGGCGCCAGGTGCCCGTGAGATCCCAGGCGCTCCACCAGGAGGCCCTGCCTGGATCGAAACTCGCACGCGACCCGCCCTCTTGTTACCAGTTCTCTCTGGGCTTGTGGAAAGAGTTCCCCAACCTGGGATCTATACCCAGGAGGAGGTTAGGACACAGGTGTCCTATTCCCTTGAATCCTCCATCTTCTTCTACTCTCTGTTATTCTCCTCTTTTGTTAGTTTGATGGTGCCCAGTAAAATAAAGCAAAAGAATACAAGTGATTTTCAGTATAATTGATACTACTAGAGGAAAAGTCAGCAAGGAAACATTCTAGAGAAACTGGTCCTGTGCAGAATAGCACAATTTTTAAAAAATGACAATAAGACAAGGATAAATTCCTACTTGATTTTAACGGTACATCCTTTATTATTAGGTAAAATGAGAATTAAGACATTGCATCTTGCCTGTCTTTAAAGAAAAGAGAGAACTAGCACTTATTCTAGTACAGGTTTTTTTGTCTGTTTTGTTTTGTTTTGTTTTGTTTTTTGAGACGGGGTTTCGCTCTTGTTGCCCAGGCTGGAGGGCAGTGGCGCGATCTCGGCTCACTGCGTCCTCCGCCTCCTGGGTTCAAGTTGTTCTCCTGCCTCAGTCTCCCTAGTAGCTGGGATTACAGGCATGTGCCACCACGTCTGACTAATTTTTGGATCTTTAGTAGGGACGGGTTTCACCATGTTGGTCAGGCTGGTCTCGAACTCCTGACCTCAGGTGATCCACCTGCCTCGGCCTCCCAAAGTGCTGGGATTACAGGCATGAGCCACCACTCCCAGCCTTTTTGTTTGTTTTGTTTTTGTTTTTGTTTTTGTTTTTGAGACGGAGTCTCGCTCTGTCGCCCAGGCTGGAGTGCAGTGGCGCTATCTCGGTTCGCTGTAACCTCCACTTCCCGGGTTCAAGAGATTCTCCTGCATCAGCCTCCAGAGTAGCTGGGATTACAGGCACTCGCCACCACGCCCACCAACCTTCCCCTTCTTGCTGCAATCTCACCAAGACCGCTCTTCTCTCCTGAGTAGCTGTGGTCTGCCCTTTTCTTGGATTCCTTAAGATCGGCAAGGAGCGGGGAGAGAAAGCGTAGCTAGCCAATAAGGAAACACGAACTGAGAAGTATTTCTGAAACATCACTCCTGTCAGCGTTATTAGAGTACTGATGGCCCATATTACGGTGTCGCTGGTTGTATGTCTTCCCCTGCACAGTGTCCAGTGCACCCTGAGGACAGGACTGCTTTTACTCTACCTTTGAATCCTCAAAAGGTACAGCGCCCAGCCCAGTGCTTGGCACAGAGTCTATTGATGATTGATAAATAATAATCTACGTCAAAATTTGGATGAGGGTTCTCATCTTTGTGTCCTTACTTTTATTTGAATTTGACCTTATAATTGGAAGTTCAGGGGACAAATATTTGCTACCATGTTGAAAATCTTAATACTACAACCCTACTCATTGACACAAATATTAGTAAGACTATGCTAGCTAAAGCATCTGACTACATGTTGATTGCTATCAGGATAGTGATGGAGTATTTTTGCTTTCTAAAAAATTTAAAGCTTTCCAGAGAAATCTGTCAAAATAATTATTGCATCCTAACACCTTTTATTTTTGTGGGGGAGGGATGCCTAAAACATCAGAAATTTATTGTCTTACAGTTATAGAGACCACAAGTCTGAAATCAAGGTATCAGCAGGGACATGCTCTCTTAAAGGCCCTAGGGAAGGATCCTTCCTTCCTTCTTCAGGCTACTGGTGTTTGCTGTCAGTCCTTGCCATTCCTTGACCATAACTTCAATCTATGCCTCCTTCTTCACATAGCCTTCTCCCCTCTACTTGTGTGTCCAGATCTCTAGGTGTGTAAGGACACCAACCATTGAATTATGGCCCACCCTAATCCAGCCCCACTTCACTTTAACCTGCTTATACCTGCAAAGACTTTATTTTTAAATAAGGTTACATGCACAGGTCTGGGTAGACATAGATTTTGGAGGAATACCACTCAACCGAGTACAACAATTATATTTGGAGATTTTAACACTCCAGTTTCAGTAATCGAGAAAATAGACAAAAATCAGTAAAGATATATCAACCAACTTGATCTAATTGACATATGCAGAACACTATAACCAACAGTGGCAGAACAGCCTTTTTAAGTGCATCCAGAACATTCAACTAAAAGGGCTATATAAAAACCAAATTACAATCAATTCCACAGGATTGAAATCATGCACGGTATGTTTTCTGAGAATAACAGAAAGAAAACAGAAAACACAAACAAAAAGAAATATATAAAAACTCAAAATACTTGAAAATTATGAAAAAACCTAATAAGACATTTCTAAGAACTTTGGAATTATACAACAAACTTCTCAATTTGTCCTGTATCCAAAGAAGACATCAAAAGTAAAATTAGAAACATGTTGATCTGAATGTGACTGAAGACAATGAATGTAATATCTGTTTTTATAAACATATCTGAAAACTGGCATGTCATGAATGCTAGAAGTCAAAAACTGTTGAAGGGATGAGGGTATGATGGTGTCATACAGCTGCAGTTAGATAACCTACCTTTAGGTCAGTTGCTTGTTTTAGACACATTCTTATTTCATTAATATATTGATTCCTAAAACTCAGTACATCTACTTGCCTTCTATGGAAGTAAACAATCCTTAGATAGACGCAACCAAGATTTTTGAGCTTTCAACTACTTGAGGAGATTTTAAAGGGAGTTTTCAAAAAATTAAATATATGTATATCCTATAGCATATACAGTGCATACATACATATCTATGAACATGTATCTATATCAGTTTGTCACAGGGCTCTCTAACCTGTGATCTATAAACTTAGAGACATGATGAGAGCTTTACTGAATATTCAGATTTTTCCATTGTGTGTGCCTTTTTCTGGAGAAGGCTATACAGCTTTCATTAGATTCTCAGAGAAACCCGTGAACCCAAAACTTTAAAAACTGGTCTTAAAGACAAAAGTGTATTTCAATACTATTCTTTACTCTTGATAGTATCTCTCGAATAGGGACCCTGTAGGGTCTTGGTTTGTTATTGAGATTTTGGATGCCCAAGTAGTGAACACTGCAAAACATTAGGAATAATCCTAATGCAAAGAACGACCAGATGTGATAACATAACACAGCCCCGTTTGAGATTCTTGATGTGTTTAAAATTTAAGTAGCATTATATCTCTTTACAGAACTAGCTTAAAATTAAAATGGAAACAGTTTTTATGCTGTCTCTGAAGCCAAAAATATAAATTCAACTCTGCACGTTTTTTATTTGAAGGCATTCACAAATGAAATGCAAGGAATACACGCTGGCCAAAAGACATAGCTAAGCATTGTGTAAAAAAAAAAAAAAAAAGTGTGTAATTTTAAGCCAAAAACTATTTAGGAATCAGTTTCTTATGTCCTAATTATTAAATTAGGAATAAAACCAGGAAAAAGATGTTTAAAGTGGCATGCTTTAAATATTAAGTATTCTCTTTAGGTTTAATAACAACTTTTAAAAATCAAACAAAAATCAAACAAAATTGATTTAAAATTTTAAAACTTTTAAAAATCAAACAAAATTGATCAACAGTCATGCAAAATTGTAAACAGTCACGCAGGACTGAAGAAGACTTCTCTATTTAGATTAACAAGACAATGGTGCTAGAGGCAGCTTGGTGAGACACTGAGAACTAAAGTCAACAAAACGAATGTGTACTGGGAGAAATGATTTACACACATGTTCTGAATGCTTCTGCTTAGATTAATATTTTCCTTCAAATAAAACTGGTCAAGTTCAATAATGCAGCTATAAAGATGAATCTACAGTAAGCAAGTCATCTGGTCATTCAGAGCCAACATATGAGAGTTATTCTAGAAAAGTATAAAATAACCAAAAGTACTTTGGAATCTCTAACTATAGCATGTATAAAATTTTTTGCATGTATGACAGTGTATAATGGAACCTCCAAACAAATCCAAACTTACAATGTCTTCAAGATGTAAGTGTCAGCATTATAAAGTATGGGAAAAGCAAGTACCTTATTTGGCATCCCATTTAAACCATATATGGCTTTTCTTTGCCTCTTGAGTAAAATGTCCTGCCATTTACCCTTAATTGTCATGCTAACATCCATCTCAGAATCCGCTTCCATCTTGGAAAAGGGTTAGTAAGATGCACATGAATAGGTATCTCTAACAAATCTTGATAATTTGTCTTCAGAGGGGATACTCTAGAAATAACATCACAGCTAAGACATCCTCTTGACTTTGAACTCAAGTCAAGACTTGGCAATGCATTTTTCACATTGTGGATTAAACATGTGCTTTCCTTCATGGTGCTGTCAGAGTTAAAAATCAAGTATTAATAACTATATAAATGAATATAAGTGGAAGGTTTATGAGTCAAGGGAAAAAAGACACTTAGAAGGCAATGTTACCTCCTGCTGTCTAAAACTCTTCTCAGGAAAGCCCAATGAACCAGAGCCATCTCCTCTGCTGCTTTCTCTTTTCTGACTATCCAGGTATCATAGGATTGACAAATCCACATTCTTAAACTGTGTTTCCTAACTTAGTCTGACACTAAGTGCTCGAAGCTGTTGTTTAGGAATCACCCTCTCACTCTAATAAGAACTTCATTATTACTGAGTAATAGCTCAGTAATGAGTTTTTTTCATTCTTCAGTAATGATTCCCAAATGACATAGTATAGGAGGAAAAGAAGCATTCTGAGAAGACATTCTGAGAAATGGTGTTTGGTGATCCTAATTACTATCAATGAAGAATCACGCTCTCACTGTTTCATTGTTTGGGGCCAGTATACAGAAGTTGCTAATTCCAAGGCCTATGGGGCCAGGTGGTTCTTGTGAGATCAATGGAGAACAAATTTTGTGCCCCTCATAAATGGGCAATCCGTGTCCCATTCCACCTGTTACCTCAGGAAAAGAACATGAAGTATGGCTTTTCAAGATTTTTCTCAAGATAACTTAGACATCTGGATTTTTATATGAATACTCCTGATTGTTAAATGCAGACACAAATCCCCAATTCTTAAATATTCATAGGCCTGCAGACCTGACATAGTAGCAAATGTTTCACAAATCTGTGACCTCTAAGAAAAGAACTTCTTGAAACCAGGTTTAGCCATGTAGCCATGTGAACTTGGACTCATGACCTCATAGCTAGGGCTTCAGTGACTTCATCCGCAGGATGGAGGAGAAGACTGCCCTAGCAGCAGCTCTGGAGTTCTTTACAAGCTGAGCACTCAACAGTTCTTGAGTTATAATCATCCTCCCCACACCCAATTTCAGCTCTCAGATGAGGATGTGGCTTCTGACCTAACTGCTGACAAAGTATGAAGTGTACCTCAATCTATCAAGATCCAGTGTGGCTAGCTTTCTATACTCAATTCCAAAACATGAATTATTTTTAAAATTTATTGTACTTATAAAATCAATTAAGATTCACTGTAGAAAAATTACTAAATACAGATATACAAAGGGAAATCTCCTTAAAACCCACCAAGTACCTTGACGTAAATCCTTTTAAATCTTTTCCTATGTGTATATTGTTTTTAGAAAAATGACATCATATCTAATGCATTTTTTATAGCCTGCCCTTTTTAATGAATATATTTACTCAATAAACACTGATTCTTTAGAGAAGTAGAAATATAACTCTTATAAGATTAATTTCAATTAGGGCTGGGCACAGTGGCTAACGCCTATAATCCCAACACTATGGGAGGCTGAGGCAGATGGATCACCTTGAGGTCAGGAGCTTGAGACCAGCCTGGCCAACATGGTGAAACCTTGTCTCTACTAAAAATACAAAAAATTAGCCAGGCATGATGGCGCACACCTACAATCCCAGTTACTTCTGCCTCAGGAGACTGAGGCAGAAGAATCACTTGAACCAGGGAGGCAAAGGTTGCAGTGAGCCAAGATCGTGCCACTGCATTCCAGCCTGGGTGACAGGGCAAGATTGTTTAAAAAAGAAAAAGATTAATCTCAAATCATTTTTTTAACATAAGCACAAATATGTCCAATTTGTCAATAGTATAGGGTTTAGGATTAAAAACACAAAACTAAACACCAAATGCAAAGCAATTCTTCCCAAAAAAAAACAGCTTTCCCCAAATCACTCAGTAATTTAATGATAGAATTTCCGAAATATTAAGAAATCTAGGACTATTACCCTGTAATAATAAAGCCCTCAAAATCTAAAGAAAAAAATAGACCAAAATACATTTATTATTGAGATGTAAGGACAAAGTATTGGAGACTATAAGTTGTTAATAGTCTGAATAATGAATCTAGAGAAAATAGGAGGAAAACTGTGGGGGTCACTGCAACCAATTCTGAAAATTCTAGAATGCATATGTGATCGAAAAGAGAAAAAATAAGTACACTTCATCTATATTTATATATTTAGATAATATATTAATATACATTAAATAGATTTAGATAATATATTAATATTAAATATATTTATGTTTATTAAATTTATTAAATATATTTATATTAGTATTACTATATACTAAAGTATATATTAATAATATAAGTAAAATGCAAAGTATATTGAACTCTCTACTAACTCTCTTAATTAAAACCTAACTGTTTTATTACTTTAGGATTCAACAGTGGTACAAATTTAAGTTCACATTTTCCTGGAGGACTTAATTAGTGAAATAAATGACTAGAAGACTAATTCATAGTAGAGAAATAAGAACTTGGCATTTTCGAATGTGGTATCTTTGTTGAATCTCCCTCTATTTCTTGACCTTCTCTTGCAAAGTCTGACAATGTTACAAAAGTACATAGCCAAGAGTGAGTGAGGCACAGAGCAAATGTGAAAAATACTCTTCTATTATACAGCAAGACAGTGAAATGTTTTTCTTAGAAAAAAATTCTCTCCCTATCAATAGTTCCAAATACTAATGCAGACTTTATTTCCAAATAAGTTTCTTATGTCAATCTGTTTTAAATAAGTTCTGATCACTTTAAAAGCAAAACTTGGGAGAAAATTACTTGTTAGTGGCTTTGATCTGTTCAATAGTCTCACAGCGTACTCTCAAACTTGGGTGAACCAGGATTAAATTCCAGTAGTCTTACAGAAAAAAGACACACAAAAATCTACTAAAGATGCCATATCACTAGTCTTACACTCATAATGAGAAATTATTAGGCCCATCCAAAGATGATAGAACTTGCCATATTTTCAGTCGCTTCATGTTTACAAGCCACAGATAAACTTCCCTGCAAGGCATCCTGTTCTCCATTCCTGAGATTAAATAAATCAATAATAAAAATCATCTTGCAATGCAGATGCTTCCTTCCCCAACTGAAATATTCTTATAAAAATTTAACAAGAAAATTTTCAAACATCTCATAATGTTGTTTTTACAAAGCAACTGTTAGTTATAAACAAGTCTTTTAGGTCTCAAGGAGATTTAAGATACTTCAAAGGCTTGGTCTAAACCCTCTAAATCCAGGTTGCTTTCATATAGTTTCTAAAACACAGTATGTTAAATTTAATGTTTTAAAAAATATTTTAAGTGTTTTTTTATGCACTGGAAAAATTTAAGCAGATCTTATTCTAAGAAATTAGCATTTTCTGGAACTTCCATTTTTACTAATTCCTTTATAAGAAATAAAGAAACAAGTACTTATGTTAACTGTTTTTCTGTAAACGTTTTCAAACTTATTAAAGAAATAACACATCTCATCTACCCAAGGCAGTGTACATTAACATATTTTTATGTACATTTAAAAAAGAAATTCCTCACAACCTAGTTGTTGCAGATGTTCCTCTTAGTGACTCTTCTTATCAGGAGAGAGACTGATCTGTCTTCTTTTACTATATCCTATAGGTCAGTGGCAAGAAAAAACAAATAAAGGCCATGTTAATAATTATTAGAAGTTTGTGCAAATATTAATTACAAAAACCTGCTATTCTGAATTGTTCAGTTAATATTGAATGCTACATAATTTTTTAATTCTGACTTGAATAATTTATAAAAACATGCATAGTGGTATTTATTTTGAACTAAAAGTTATAGTATACATCTTTTTTCCTGTCAGCTTTAAGTGATGGTGTAGATTGGGCTTACCCTGACAGGTTTGGGTTATCTGAAATAAAAGAAGTCACAGTTTCTTAGGGTGGTATTTTTTATTTCATAAGAGTGATTCAATTGGACTGAATAAATAATTTCTCAGTTTTCCACTGTTCTTTCCTGGGAAAAAAAGAGTTGTATACAACAATAATTTATTATTTCTTGTTTTAGTACATATTTTGAAAGTTTTACAACCAAAAGGAACACAGATAATTCTTCAAAGGTCCATTTCCTCTGAAATAAAACAATGTGTAGCTCTTACCACCGGCTGGACATATTTCCCTTAATTTCAAAATAAAAGAAGCAAATGTTGGTCTATTTGTTATACTTGTTATTATTTCTGTTTATCCATGCAAAATGACAGAAGCCTTAAGAGACATTCATTTACACCAATTTTGCACAATGAGATCCTGTAATCTTTCTGTTGCATGTGTAATATATAGAAGATGTTAATTACTTAGCACATTGAATAGGCAACCATTAAAAAAAGAAAGATAGTCGTATTATGAGATTTAATCAGAATTGAGTCATGGTTATAATTATCTGTTACTTTATGCTTCCTGAATTTTCAGATTGTTCCAAAATAGATTAAAGATGCATATTTTTAAAAGAAGGAAGTTAGGATAATAGTTTGTAATGTTCCAAGGACTTGTCTATTGATCTCCTAACCCATCTTTTAAATACACAAAGACATTAAAAACACAGGAATAATAGAAACCAAAGAGTTCTTTCCTTGAAGGAAAAATTATGTAATTGATTTTCAGTTGTATTTTGTAAGGATTGCTGCTAAAAAAATACTGTACTATAGTTAAAACTGAGTTTATTCTGTCTCCTATTACAAAATTTAAAATTTAATAATTTTCTCTGTTTGTTCTTCTAACAATCCTAAATACGAAATTTTATTTTGAGTACTATGTACCTAATTTTGTTAGTTACTACAGAGTGGCAAGTTCAAGGTCTTTTAAATCTCCTTTTTTCACACACATGTGCACACACGCAAAAGCACAGAGTTGTATATCTGAACACATAGTAATTATTCAAGCAATCATTGGACATTTACTGGGCACTCATGGTGTTAGACAATAATAGAGCTCGGGTTCCTAAAGTGGGAAGATCAGTGTTTACCACAGTTGCTTTGTCCTCTGTATTATCATCAAGATCCAGCCCCCACCCGTTAACACAGGATCTACAAAAGAATTAAACTAAAACATTTTAAATTCCCAATGAGATACATGCTTATCTTCCAAATATTCATTCCCTCTTCCCTAGAATATAAGCCTTGAAAGCCTGTGTAGTAAAATAGCCCAAACTGTTTAACTTTCCAGGTAGTAATAATAGTAACTTGTATTCTTATAGTGCAAGGAGACAAGAGAGAAGATGATAAAATGCAAATTTCCGAATTAGATTCAAAAGTCCATGGTAAATTTGTTCTTCCCTCCTACAAAGAAAACAGATACCTGGATTTTATAGTATATTTATTCCATCATTCATTCTCTTATTTATTCACTTATCTTTGTGTCTTTTAAGTTTAACTGGACACCATTAGACAGTCTATATAATGGTTTTAGAAAGTGATTTGCATGCTACTAATGTCAAAATATCTATAGTTTAAAAAGACATATGCACATGTATGTTCATCACAACGTTATTCATAATAGCAAAGACATGGAATCAATCTAGAAGCCCATCAATGGTGGACTAGCTAAAGAAAAGGTGGCACATATACACCATGGAATACTGTGCAGCCATAACAAGGAATGAAATGACCTTTGCAGCAACACGGACACAGCGGGAGGCCATTATCTTAAGTGAATGAATGCAGGAACAAATAACCAAATACCACATGTTCTCACTTATAAATGGGGGGGTAAACATTGAGTACAAAGAGGGAAACAATAAACACTGGGGCCTACTTGAAGGTGGAGTTGGGGAGGAGGGAGAAGTTCAAAAAACTACCTTTTGGGTACTATGCTTACTATCTGGGTGACAAAATCATTTATGCAACAAATCCCAGCGACATGAAATTTGCCCATGTAATAAATCTGCACATGTATCCCCTGAACCTAAAATAAAAGTTGAAAGAAAAAAAAAAAGAAAACATAACCCAATTAATTTGGCTTAAAAGAGTTACAATACCAAATTAACTTTGACCTTCCTAGAAAATTCAGATGGAATAGTTTCTATCATATTAAATATCCACCAACTAATTTGTAGTATTTGTAAGATGCTATGCCTTTATAAAAATCACAGAAACCTCATTTGAACACTGATGGTTCATTTATAACTTTTCATCATTTTTTTCAAAAGTCATTATTAAAGAAGCGTTTGTTCGGTCGGGCACGGTGGCTCACGCCTGTAATCCCAGCACTTTGGGAGGCCGAGGCAGGCGGATCACAAGGTCAGGAGATCGAGACCATCCTGGCTAACACAGTGGAACCCCCATCTCTACTGAAAATATAAAAAATTAGCCAGGCATGGTGGCAGGCACCTGTAGTCCCAGCTACTCGAGAGGCTGAGGCAGGAAGATGGGGTGCACCTGGGAGGTGGAGCTTGCAGTGATTGGGCCACTGCACTCCAGCCTGGGTGACAGAGCGAGACTCCGTTTCAAAAAAAAAAAGTGTTTGTTTTCACACACACACACACACACACACACACACACACACACAAACATTAATTACTGTATTCTATTCTGAGGACAGTTCGTCAAGATGCTACTTGTCCTGTGATATGTAAATAACATATTTATGTTATAAAATGCTACTTGTCCTGTGATATGTAAGTAACATATTTATGTTATAAATTTCTGTGTCATTAAGAAGATAAATATACACAGCTATAAGAAATATTACGTTTATTTATATCCATGAAAGGAAGTCAGGTCTCTTTTCTTGCAAAGAAAATCACTAGAGAATAGTTGTGCAATGAAGAAGCTTATGTCTGGTGTGCCCAAGTACCTTGTCAAACAGTTCTGACATTCTTCATTGCACCAAAGCACCTTCCTACAGTATTCAACACCCAAATATCCTTGGTTCCATGTAGAAGCACACTTGGAACCAAGCTTTCCAACACTCAAGAGAATGTTTGCTGTGTAGAGTATCTTTTGAAGTGCTAGTCAGGACAAAACAGTAAAAAGCTTTACCCAATAAGATGTCAACTGAGTGAAGTATCCTCACCTGAACTCCATACCACAAGAACCATGCTTCCTTATTTAAAAGTCTGTTCTTAGACAACTAGCTGTACCCAATTCCAAAACACGCTTCTTGCCTATACAGGTTTTTAAAAAGCGACTTCAAGGTAAGGGATTAGCTTGCATCAAGGTTTAGAATACAGATGCATTTAATCAAGATCACACATGAGAGAAAGGGAATTGGAAAGCTCTAAAATCCTGTTGAATCTCATTGCATTAACTGTACAGCTTACACAGTCCAGGAAAGCCCATATTCTCTTTCAAACAAGATATAATACTGGGTGTGGACTGCTGAGATTATAAAAGAGTCAAAGACATCTTTTTCAGGGGTTATTATTTTAACCCTGATGCCATAGTTGCCTGAATAACTAGAATCTAAGATTCTTTCTTGCTAATTGAAAGAGATCTACTTTATTTCGTTTGAAATATTATATATGTTGAGATTTTTGGCCAAGCACAGTGGCTCATGCCTGTAATCCCAGCACTTTGGGAGGTCGAGGCAGGCGGATCACCTGAGGTTAGGGGTTCAAGACCAGCCTGGCCAACATGGCAAAACCCCATCTCTACTAAAAATACAAAAATTAGTTGGGTGTGGTGGCACACGCCTGTAGTCCCAGCTCTCTGGAGGCTGAAGCAGGAGAATCACTTGAACCAAAGAGGCAGAAGTTGCAGTGAGCTGAGATCACGTCACTGCACTCCAGACTAGCTGACAGAGTGAGATTCGTCTCAAAAATAATCAAAAAACAAAACTAAACAAACAAAAAAAACATATACATTGAGACTTTTGCAAAAGCGTTGCTGATACTACCAAAGTAAGTTTTCTGAATTATCTGCAATTATTAATGCGTATTAACTATATAGTAATAACAACTAGCTCTATAATTCACTCTGTGCAATGTAAACCTTAATTCAGTTGGAGTTACATTCGTTATTTCAAAGACAGTAAACTGCTGTGTGCTGCAGATCATGTTCCATGTAACTTTTGAGTTCCAAAAAGGTCTCAGATAGTCTAAGAGGTGCCAGGTGAATCTGTATAATAAATAACACTTTTATAATATCCTAAAGCAGAGAGATTTTAATAGCTATAGTTGGAAATCAATAAATATCTGTTGAATGAATGTATAACCCCTTTATACAGAGAACATGTATAAGTGCTAACAGCCATTCATACAATCCAATATCATACCATGTTATGACCCTGGAGTTCTACTTTGGAAACATTGTTTTAAAATACGTGGTGGAGCCAGATTCATCACTATTGCAAGGCAGAATACCAGAAGTATTCTGTTAAACCTCCTAAACACACACACACACACACACACACACACAAAAATAAGCCTGCTGCCATAGAAATCAAATATTCCTAGATAGGATCAAACCAAAAAAAGGTTAAAGAAGCTATGCTTACCAAATGGAATAGAATATTACATAAAGTGTAAGATGCATATTCTATGGGAATATAGATACTCCTTGACTTACGATGGGAGTTACCTCCTGATGAACCCATTGTAAGCTGAAACCATCATAAGTTGAAAATGCACTTAATACACCTAATATACCAAAC